GAGATAATTTAATGTTTAAATCATTAAATTTAAAGGAGATTCCATAGATTTAATGAGAAAGCTCAAATTCCACAAACTGAAATCATTTCTTTTTAGGAACTCTAATTTCTTACGTTGCACTAAACAACTGGTATTCATATTTTTTATAGAATTTACAAGTCAACATTTGAGCAACTGTGCATACCCGTTAGAAATCTAAAGGTATTAGAACATACTGATTCCATCACAGAGTTATGCTGTCTTCATGTATATTAATAGTCTCTGCAGATCTGTTAAAAACTGAATTTCTCCATCTTCCTCTGATTTGGATGGCTGGGCTGGTTCCATTTGAAAATACGTTCCTCTTATCCTTGAGAAGTTCAGTAAACCCTGAAAAGCCATCAGAACTCCAAGGATGGTAGCCAGAATGGATAAAAACTATGGAATCCACTGTTATTTGATATTCAAACAGAAATACAAACGCCAAAGGAAATAAGTAAAAGTATAGTCAGGGTCAGTGTTCACATAAAAATTCCACAGTGCCCGGAGCTCAGGGTAGTACAGTCAATAGTTATGTTGGTAATAATACCTAGTCATACTACTGATTTATTACTAGTCCCTTCCTCACAATAATTAATTTGATGCAGATTCCCAGAGAAACTTGTCCCACATTGATTTTCCATATTACAATTTTATTCTCACATTATTCAGAGGAGTCTGCAGGTAGTACGTTATATTATATCATTATTCCGTATTGAATGGGAGATAGGTAGAACATGAAAGGGATGAAAAATATTACTGAAATGAACAAAAGTTCCAGTGAAGAATTTTTATTTTGTTAAAGGTATCTTGGAATCTTGGGTCACAAGAACTTCATCCTTATGGTTGTTTTACTGAGCATGTGGAGGTGATGTTTGAAATGCCAAAGATATTAAGGAGCTTGCGTTGTTGTGGGACTTAAAGTGGTGTATCTTCAGCTGTCCTGTCTTGCAGGGAAGATTATTAGCTCATGATATTTGTGTTGAAATGCACCTTTGAGGAAATTCCAGACTGGGCGTCCATTGGTCCTATGTTTGTTTTGGTATTAATGTATCTACTTGTGGTCAGACTCCAAGAATCCCTTCGTTTAGCTAAGTGTCCAAAATCCAGAAGAGCCAATGAAATGATGAAGACCTATGATTAACTGCTTTGCAGTGATTAGCAGTAGAAAGCTTTATCCAGAACACCCTGATTGTTACTGGGGATATTTCTTCCCATGGAACAACTGTTAACTTCCACATCCACAAGATAGCATTCATTTGTTTATTTACTTGGTTACTCCACAAATATTTCCAAATGCCTACTGTGTGCTAGATACTTTGCTAGGCTCTGGGGATTCAGAGACAGAATCTATACCAGTCTGTGCCCTCAAGTTGCTTCCAATCAAGAGGAGGGGATAGATAAACTGTAAAGCAATATGAATACTGTAATAGTGGTCTGCACACCATCCCATCGAATAAGATTCGTGGAACCACGCATTCCTTTAGCCAGTGTTTAATTCAACCATTATTATCGGAAGATATCAGTATTTTATTTCAGCAGTAGAACATGAAAGAATAAAATGTCTCTTCAAACTATCTAATAAGTCAGGATGCAATTTTTGATTTTGATATGAATTTTCTCACTCCCGTGGCAATTATGAATGTAGTTAATCAAGAGATGTCTATGTCCTTTCTCAAAACAAGTAAAGATATAGACATATCTTTAAAATACAGATACTTGCTTCAATTGTTCCCCAATACAAATTCAGTTTAATACCATACTTAGTTCCAGTTTATTTTTTTTAGATTATCATTTTAATTAAATATTGCCTTCCTTCAACCTTTCAGCCTTATTAGTACCTGTTTCTTTTTAGGAATTTCAAAGATGATCTCTTCAAATGATTTTTTAAGAACCTCCCTGCTAATGATCATTAAGCTGACACACAGCAGATCTTGTACTTCTATGTCATTCGAAGGACCAAACTTGAAGCTTTTAAGCAGCCAAAATTCCTCCGAAGCCTTTTATCCATAGGTATCTTTAAAATTAGACCCATGGGTTAAAGCCCAGTAATATAGTTTAGGGGGTTGGTAGTTTGGTCAAAATATTACCTACCGAAAAATATAAATGACAGCATTTTGCTTGCAATCCCAGAGTAAGGTTTTGCATATCCATTTT